ATTTTGGTTTAAAAGGTTTTAATATCTTGAAATATGAGTGAAATTGAACAGATTTTAATATGTTTATAAGTCATCTAAATTTATTTTTTCTGTTAACTTCCAGTTCATGTTCTTTGCCCGTTGTTATATGGCTTTTAAAAAATTGTTAAAGAGGTAGTAAGACATAGTGAATAAGAGCACAGGTCCCAGAGCTAGGCTGCTGGGTATAAATCATGGCCCTTTCACTTATAGCAGTGTAGCTTTGGGCAAAGTAAAGGCTCTGTGCCTCAGTGTCCTCATTTGTAAACTGGGGATAATAGTATCTCTCCGTTGGGTCATTATGAAGATTAAATTAGTTAATAAATATACAGTCCTTAGAAATGGGCTTGGCATAATGTGCTATATAACTGCTAGCCATCACGGTGATGCTGCTGCTGGTGACAGAGATGGAAATTAGCCAAAGAGATTTTTTTTATTTGCCCAAGGGCAGATAGCTAGTAAGTGGGAGTATTCAGATCAAGGTTTAGGTCTTGGAACTCTAAGCCCGAAATTATTTTTCATTGTGCTGCACTGTTAAGTGGAACCTGCAGAGTGAGCAGCTCAAACAGCCAGGCGCCAGGCACCTTTGGATTTGAGAGTTGTCAGGGTAGTAGCTTCCCAATAAAGTTCAGTGAGTTTCTTTTTCTAATTTTGTATTTAGTGTGGATGCTTTGACAGTGAATGATACTCCATTCCTGAGGGTTTGGTGCAATTAGCAAAATACTTGTTTGTTTTGTTTGCCTCTATTAATAACCAGTCACCACGCCCCAGAGAAAATCCTTTTTAGGAAGGTCCTTCAAGGAAGTATAGAGCTGCTCCTATAGTTTATGTTAGACTGAATGCAATAGTCAGTTTAGATCACTAGCCATAGGTGTGTGTCATTCTTAAGGCATCATATGGTTAGAGTTTCCCTTCCTGCTAAACATAGTAGTCAGAGGACAGGCATCAAGAAAGTACTGGAGCCACTGGATTCATTTACAAAATATTCAGATCTCAATGCCACCTGAAGCCCTCGCTGGCATTTCTTTTCTGTGAGGTGAAGGAAGGGTGAGTGGTGTTTCTGTCCTTTAGAAACACTTGAAAATCCCATAGAAGCTGGTGGAGGAATTGGTGAGTTTGGGACTAACTCCTCTGGACTAAGGAGTAAGGAGGATGGTGTTACCTTTTCTGGTTCTTTTGGCATCTTGTTGCTCTGCTTATTATTTTTAAAGAACTTGGTTTTTTTAGAGCTGTTTTAGTTTCACAGCAAAATTGAAAGATACAGAGATTTCCCATATACTCCCTGCTCCCATACATACATAGCCTCCCCCATTATCAATATCAGAATGGTAGATTTGTTACCAAGGATGAACCTACAATGATATAGTCACCCAAAGTCCATAGTATACTTTAGGGTTCACTCTTGGTGGTGTACATTCTGTGGATTTTGACAAATGTATGGTGACATATATCTACCATTATAATATTGTACGGAGTATTTCATTGCCCTAAGAATTCTCTGTGCACTGCCCTGCCTTCCCCACTCTATCCCTGGCAGTATTTGTTGAATGTAAATTCGTACTCCTCACTACCCCTGCCCATCATTTTTATTCTCAAATAAGTCAAGACATAGTAAGATTTCAGTCAGTATGTAGAGTACCTACTTGGCCTTATTTATGAACTTTGAGATTTCTTAATAAATATTTCAAAGTGAATTTAACTTTTCATATAACCTGTATCAAAGGAGTTGGCTCACTATCTTTATAAATTGTACTTGCAAATAGATCAGACCAAACTGTAATTTCTTTATCTCACTAGCACCAGAGACAATTTTATAGTTATTAGATTCTACTGCCTACCACTCTACTGTCTGAAATAGTTTACAAAATGTTTTCACTCTCTATGCTCATTTGGTCCTCATAATAGTCTGTCATGATAGGTACTCTGATTTTACAGAAGAGGGAATTGAGATTGGCTTATCTAAGGCTCTGGAAGCTTCTAAATTGGGAATTAGGCTTTTAACTTTGTATTATTTACACTATATAATGGGGATGTTAAGCTCTTTGGACATCTTGTTCTAAATGCCAGCAAGAACCATTTTAGTGAAAGAAAATTTTTTAACAGTAAGCAAAAATTAACATCATTTCTATCAGAGTATCATTGAAGTATTTTTAGTCCCTTGTGTTGGATAATAGACTTATTTATTTGTAAACCTGAATAAAATTATGTTTCTTATGTTGCTTCCCAAATAAAAATAAAAGATTTTGAATTTTTAAAAGTAGATATGAGAAGAATCTTATACTTTGTACCAGAAGAAACTATGATAGAATTTGTTATTATATCTTGGCCCTAGGAAGGTCTTTCCAAATATGATGCAAAAATGCAGAAGCCATAAAAGTGAAGTTTGATTAATATAACTACATAAAAATAACCACTATAAGCTAAGTCAAGACAAATGACAGACTAGGAAAAGTATTACTGCGTGTGTGACATAAGACTAATTTTTCTTATATAGAGAGAGCTTTAACAAATCAAGAAGAAAAAGTTAACTCAGTGGGAGTAAAAGAAATCCATATGTTTCATGTCAAAGGAAATGTAAATAACCCAAACATGAAAAGTACTCAATTTTACTCATAATAATATATAAAATTTCATCTAAGCTAAAAAGTTTCATTGTGTTGGAAAAGGTGTGGTATGAGGAAATGGCACTTTCATTGCTGGTGGGACTGTAAATCGATACAGGCTTCATGAAGGAAAGATGATTTGGTGTTATCTGTCAGAATTACAAAAACACAGTGTTTTTAACCTCAGCAAAATTTTTGCTGATTGTAGCAATTTAACCTATGGATATACTTACAGGAGTGTAAAATTATGTATCTGCAAGATCATTCCTTATAGCATTGTTTTAATAGTCTCTGGAGATTTAAACTCACCTTGATATCTGTATTTTGGTCTTCCTCTATTCTCAGTATTAGTTTGTCTTCTCTTTTTTCTTAACCAGTTTTACTAGAGGTTGGTTTATTGGTCATTTTATAGTAAAAAATAGAATCAGCCAGGGTTGTTAGTTTTAATCAGCAGAAATCTACTTTGGCAAACTTAAGCAGTAAAGGAACTTATTGAGAAAAAAAATTGGTAGCTAGAAAACTTGACTTGGAAAATAGTACCTAGGATCCAACAGCAAAGTCGATATAATATGATTTCTTTGAAATTTTTTGAAACTTCTTTGTGACCTAGTATATTTTTAATTGTCCTTATTTGCTTTAAGGAATATATATACTGTTCATTGAGTGCATACATATATGTAAATATATATGATCAACTTTGTTAATTTTATGTTCAAGTTTTCTATATTTTTACTAACTTTGGGTCTGCCTGATCTGATTTTAACTATGGTATGTGAAATTTTCTTACCATTATTTTGGATTTATTAATTTCTCCTTATAAGCAAATTAGTTTTTGCTGTGATGTACATTCATATAAGTTCATGATTATTTTATCTTCTTGTTGGGTTGCCTTTTAAATCATTACATAATGTCTCTCTTTATTCTTTTTAATGATTTTCTCTTGGTTTTGCCATATACTAGTTCTGTGGCCTTGAGCAAGTCATTAACCTCTCATTTCCCCTATTGTAAAATGTGTATAATACCTACCTTATAAAGTTTCTGTGAAGTTTCACTGAGAAAGTATATACACAAAATGGGTTCAACATTAATGGATTGAAAATACTTTTTTGCCTTAAGGCTTTTGCTTTTCCTTCCCCTTGTCTTTTAAAGCATCTAATTTTAAATACTGTTTGCCTATAGTTGGAAATGTGCTTAAGGGATATGATTAAAATAGTCATCAGGACTTTTTTTTTAAGTGGATGAAGGTGATAGAATGTTCTGTCTCCCAAATCCAGGGCCTAACAATTTTCTAGTACTTAGTAGACCTTTAAGTTACTGTTTTCTGTATCTGCGTTAGGTGCAATGTTTCTAAGTCTTCCACTCTTCTCAGGGGTACTAAATAAGAACCTTTCTAAAATAGTTGAGACAGCTGAAAAATGACAAAGTCAACTTTTTGAGGAGCCTACTTTTCTACAAGTATCTATCAACCTAATGGGATATAGAGTTATTAGTAAGTCAAAATAAATACTGTTTCAATCACTGAATATACATAGGAGTATATAGAAGTGTCACGTACACTTAAGGAGTTTGTATGTACTTTCCCCCACCTTTTTGATAGCATTTAGGACTTATCTTTTATTCCTGTTCTTAACTTGGATTTTTATCATCAATTTATATAATCAACATGTATTGTGTACCTCCTATGGGCCTGAGTATCTCAGATTCAGAATTTTAGCTGATGAAACAGCATACAAGATTTAAAAATATGACACATATATATATTGTAACTAGGATAGAGAGACACAGTGCTTTAGAAAGATAGTTATACTCAGTCTCTGGAGAACCTTGAATGACATGTTGAAGAGTTTGAGGGTAAAAAAAGCAGGTTATATACTGGAAATATTTATAGATTGTGTACAGGAAAACGCCCTGGTGGAAATGTTGAAAAGAAATAGAAAAATACATTATGAATAAAACTTGAGCTCATTTAAAATGTTACTTGGTAACACTGAACTAAGAGCTTTAAATATAGTTTTTCCTTAAGGTCTTTTAATATGTTACTTTACCAGTGAGGCCCTTCCAGACCACTCTATATAAAATAATCTTTTTCTTCCATTTTACATTTATTTTCCTCCATAGTACTTAGTACCACCAGTTCCCCTGCACAAGATTGTAAACTCCGTAAGAGCAAGGTCTTGGTTTGTTCACTACTTCTCCCCAGTGCTTAGAACTGTGCCTGGTTTACACCCTTTAATAATCATTTGTTGAATGAATGTTCAAATTAAGATGAACGCAGTTTTTAGTGTAGTTTATAATGTGGGGACAGCAATAGGACAAGGTGTTGGTGGGTTCCTTCCTAGAAAGTCCTGTTAAAAACATCTTCTTTTTCCTTTCTTCTAGAGTTTATATTCAGAACACCGATCAAATTAAGCAAGCCTGGGGAACTTCGTGAGGAATATGAAAGCCTGAGAAAGGTATAGTATACATGCTATCATGCCATTCATTTCTTTAAAGTAAATTCAAATAATGGCATTAAAGAATACTTAGTGGGAGTTTTGATTTACCTAGGGTTTTTAAAATTTACAATGCAGTGCCTGTCTTTCTTCACACTACCTTATAGCAGCATAGTTAGATTGTAGCTAAATTGGAAGTAGAGTAAACCTTAACTGAGAACCTCTTCTAAGCTGTCCTTTCAAAAATGAAAGTGTAGTTCATAGTGCCTGTCACACACCTGCTGCAATAACTGGCTGCCAAGAGAGGTATTCTTGGCATTTAAATGTTAGTTAAAAGTTAACATTCAAGCTTTAATAATAATAGCTTATATTATTTTTCCTAATCTTGCAAGTTTCTTCTAAATACATGTATCTGGTATTATCTTTTATTGCGTTCACTCTGGTAGGTACTCCAGAAGAACTGTAATGTAGGCCAGTAATAGTGTAATGGAATAATTTCCTAGAGAACGTTTACTCTTGGGAAAGTTTTTACCTGTGTCTCTATCATCTTATTTTGGATATTTTCAAGCTAATTGTCTGGGAATCACTTAGAGAATTAAGACTTCAAAAAGGCTGGTAATAAGACGTATGTTACAAGATTTGTACCATCCTTCCCCACCTTCATAACTGATTAAATAATCATTCTACATGTGGATATTTAATATTTTACTAAGGTAAGTAATCCACTTAATCTGAATCAGATATCTTCATAAAACAGAGGTGAGACAGTAGTATTATTTGTAGCATTTTATAGTGAATAAAAGATCAGTATTAATAAGGTCATGTTAAAAAGATAATAGAAAACTGTGCTTAATTACTATACATTCTTTGATCCTTTTTAAAATAAGGATGTCATATGTTGAGTTGGGTCATCATCCTCCTCTTATATTGATATGGTGAGATTTTTTGTGTTTTTTTTTTAAATCACAAAGTTTTTTTCTGCATAGTAAGAAATTATTCTCAGGGACCACATCAAAAGAACCACAGATTCCTCTTAAATAAAATTCCAGAATATGCAGATACTTAGTTCTAATTTACCTTTTTAAAAACTTGGAGAATATGGAATTTTAAAGCTGTCAACCTAAAGATAAAGAGAAAACAAGGACTTGGAGGTAGAAAAAGGAGTTAAAGCAGAAGGCATAGTAAGAGTAGAGGTTTTTATAAGCCTTGAGAGAGAGGAGAAACCTTGTGGTACTTTTTTCTTGTTTGGTTTTATTTATTTATTTATTATTTATTTTAAAAAATATATCTATTGATTTTTCATGGTTTTATTTATTTAAAAAAATATATCTTTATTGATTTTTCAGAGAGAGGAAGGGAGAGGGAGAGAGAGAAACATCAATGATGAGAGAGTCATTGATTGGCTGCCTCCTGCACACCCCCCAATGGGGATTGAGCCTGCAACCCAAGTATGTGCTCTGACTGGGATCTTCTGGATCCTAGGTGGATGCTCAACTGCTGAGCCATGCTGTCCCGGTAGGAAGATGGTTTTAGAGGGGACTGATGGTATATTGTTGTTGAGGGAACCTGGACATCTCATCATTGGATTGTGTCATTTGGGTTAAATAAAAGTTAGCTACAGGTTCTTCTCCCCCACACCTCAAATACCCAAGTTATCTTGCATCCATGTATAACATGTAAAGTGGAAATTCAAGTCATAAAATAAAAAGTCACTAATGGCATATCCATACAATGGAATCCTGTTCAGCAATAAAAAGGAATGAATCATTGATATATGCTACTACGTGGATGAACCCCCCAAAGATGCTAAGTAAAAGAAATTAGGTACAAGTGACTATATATTGTGCAATTCCATTCATAGAAAATGTTCAGAATAGACAAATGTATAGAGACAAACAGGTTCATGATTGATTGGAGTAGAGGGTAGGAATGGGAATTAATAATAAATGGGTATGAGTGATTTAATTATAGTGGTGAAAATTTCTAAAGCTGATTTATGGTGTGTTTCACAACTTGGTGTAATTACTAAAAATCATTAAATTATACATTTGAAATGAGTGAGTTCTATAAGATGTAAAATATGCCTCAGTAAAGTTATAAAAAATTTAAAAGGCGCTAGACATTTGTATGGAGACCTTGATAGAGAAAAAGATGTCTCAGAGTGCATATTTTCTGAAACAAAATAAATAAATATGTAATTATGTGGATGAATCTCTAGGGAAGGAACATCTTTAAAAGGTTGTACTGAGTAAGGGATGGTAAGTGGAAATTAACTCTGTAGGATTCCCCATTACTAATTTGATGTGTAACATACTACTAATATACTTTTTATTTAGTATACCTTATTATTTTGTATAAGTGGCAGTAAAAACCTTTATAAGGGCTATAAAAAATTAACAAGAAATTTTATTCCCCTAATTCTGGTTCTTTTAAAAGATGTTTACTTAATAATCGTAGATTATCCTGCCCATGGGGTAGTGTTATGCCTACTGAGGTTACTGTGGATTTCTAAATTTTATGATTTTGTGAATAGGTTTATATTTCTAAGTATGTTTAAAATTTTCTTTCTGCCATATGTTAAACTTGTATTTTTCAAATAAGAAACATAATGTAGGGGTATGCAGAGCAAAATGTGAATATTTCTCTTTTTCTTATTTCCCACTCTCTTTCCCAGAGGTAACTGTTGGCAACAGTTTAGTGTATATTTTAGATCCTTCATCTACTTACACACACACACACGCACACTTTAGTCTTTTTCAGCATAATGAAATCATGGTGTGTATTCACTTATTCATGGTGTCTTTACTGTGTGCCAGGTATTGGGTATACAGTGCTGAGTAAGATATCCGAGGTCCTTGCCCTCAGGGAGATTTCATTCTAGTTGGGAAGAGTGTAAATAAGCAAACACATAATATGTATTAATAAAGCAGGATAAGAATAGTTAAGGGGAGTGGAAGAGAAACTTGAGGAGCCACAAATAGACTGTTTTAGATAAAAGTGATCAGGGAAGGTCCTTCAGAGAAGGCACCATTTAAGTTTCAACCTGAAAGAAGTGATGGAGCAAACCAAGTTACAGGTATAAGGAGAGCGCATTCCATCCAAAGGAAGCAGCAAGTGCAGATGCCCTGAGACAGAAACAAGTTTGGCTTGTTCAGGGAGCAGTGTGGCCAGAGCTAAGTGTGCAAGTGGTAAGTGGAAGGGTGGTATAGGGTTTTAGTAGGAGATGAGCTGGGAGAGATAGAAAGGCCAGATCAAAGAAGGCCTAGTTGACCTGGTAAGGAGCCTACATTTATATAGAATGTGATGAGAAGCTAGTAATATGATCTGGCTTAGACTTCTAAAAGGTCCCTGGTTGCTCTGTGGGAAATAAGCTGTAATGGGCCTAGGAGTTAGAAATTGTATTTACTGTGAATAGTAGAGCCCTCAAAATAATGACTCAAACAAATCAGGAGTTTTATGTTTCTTAACAAAAAACTGGAGGTTGGCAGTCCAGGATTGATATGGCAGCTCCATGGCATCAGGGATTCAGGCTCCTTTTGTCTTTCTGTTTAGACATCTTCAAGTGTGCCTGTCTCATTGTGGTATAAGTTGGCTGATACTTCTCAAAAAGCTCATCTAGACAGAAGGCAGAAAAGCATGGTGTTTTAGCTGGGTACATTAACTTCCTAAGTGAAACCAGGATTATCTTATTAAGGAAGGAGAGAGTGTATATTGGGTAGGCATCTAGCAGTCTGCCTCATGGATCAAGAATGGAAATAAGACCAATTAGGACACTTTTGGAATAAAAGAAGCATGTTGGAGAGAGAGATGCAGTAGACTTGAAGGTGGATACAAGGAAGTTGCTAGTTTGGAGACCATGGTTCTTTAAGGAGGGAATTGAGAACATGAGGTACATGTTTATTGATGCACAGTGAAAGAGTTGTGTGATTAATGGATGGGAAGTTTTAATGGTGATAAAGAGTTGTAAAAGTAGGGCTACTGGCATATAAGTAAAGCTGGAAAGCTAGGAAGTGGTGGCCTAAATGTGAGGGGGTTAAAAGTGAGTCTGGGAGGTAGTTTAGTTATTGGACATGACAGGGTTTAGGATATGATTGTGGGAGTAGGTAACTGAAGTAGGATGGAAGAAAATATTTATTTAGAAGGAAGTGAAGAAACTGAGAGAGTATTCTGATATTGAAATCTTTAGGAATGATCACTGAAGTAGTTGGAGAGAAACTTAGATGATAAGTTTTTCTATGAATTAGGGGACTTGACAGAGAGGGATCTTAGGTATGCCAGCCTGATGATAAATACTTGAAAGAAGCCAGGATTTTTGAGGAATAATATGATCCATTACTTTTTTTTTGCTAACAATATGATTTTGGGGGTTGGGCTTTCAGATAGATACTTTTTCATCCTGAATAATATTTCATAGTGTGGATGAAGCATAATTCACTTAGCCATTCCATTATCATTGGTAATTTAAATTGTTTCCCATTTCCCCCAATTTAAAAGGGATGTTACACTGAATACACATGAATGTATATGAGCAGATATTTCCATTACCTTAGATTCCTAGAAGTGAAAGTGCAGATTTAAAGGGTATGTATACTTTGTATTTTGTTGGATATCAACAAGTTACTTTTTTAAGACTTTTTCAGCTTACTCTCTCACCAACAGTAAATGAGAGTGCCCCCTTTTTTCAGATCCTTGCTCTAAACCATTATCATTATTTTTTAATATTTTGCTAATCTGTTGTATAATATGATATCTCATTGCTTTAATTTACATTTCCCTGATTACTAGAGAGGAGGAGCATCTTATGTTTACTGGCCATTTATATGCTTTCCGTGAATTGCTTATTTATAACCTACAGATGTGAAAACCAGTTCCATCTTTTGGGTATTTGTGATTTTGACTGCTAATAACATGCTTTTTTGTTGCTGTTCTATGCTTTTATAGATTTAGTGTGTTAAAAAGAAGTTTTACAACATTTTAAGTATAAGGAGAGTATTAGCATATGCTCAGCCTTCCATCTTGCT